ATGAACTGTTCGAGCTCCTCGTGGGAGCACGAGGCGGCGCCGATACAGTCATCAATGTAACGGAGGAAGAGGTGGGGTTTAGGGCCGGTGTAGGTACGGAAGAGGGATTGTTCCACGTAACCTACAAAGAGGCAGGCGTAGCTTGGGCCCATGCGGGTACCCATGGCTACCCCCTTTGTCTGTAGGAAGTGGGAGGAATTGAAAGAGAAGTTGTTGAGTGTGAGGACGAGTTCGGCTAAGCGGATGAGGGTGTCAGTGGAGGGGGACTGGTCGGGCCTGCGGGACAGGAAGAAGCGGAGGGCCTTAAGGCCATCTGCATGGGGAATGCAGGTGTAGAGGGACTGGACGTCCATGGTAAAGATGAGGTGTGGGGGACCGGGGAATTGGAAGTTCTGGAGGAGGTGGAGGGCGTGGGTGGTGTCACGGACATAGGTAGGGAGTTCCTGGACCAAGGGGGAGAAAATGGAGTCTAGATAGTTGGAGATCAGTTCGGTGGGGCAGGAGCAGGCGGAGACAATGGGTCGACCAGGGCATTCAGGTTTGTGGATTTTGGGAAGGAGATAGAAGCGGGCAGTGCGAGGTTGGGGAACGATGAGGTTGGAGGCCGTGGGTGGGAGGTCACCTGAGGTGATGAGGTTGTGGATGGTTTGCGAGATGATGGTTTGGTGCTCAGGGGTGGGGTCATGATCAAGGGGGCGGTAGGAGGAGGTGTCGGAGAGTTGGCGGCCGGCCTCGGCGATGTAGAGGTCAGTGCGCCATACTACAACTGCGCCTCCCTTGTCCGCGGGTTTTATGGTGAAGTTGGGATTGGAGCGGAGGGAGCGGAGGGCTGCACATTCTGCGGGGGAGAGGTTGGAGTGGGTGAGAGGGGTGGAGAGGTTGAGGCGATTGATGTCTCGACGGCAGTTGGAGATGAAGAGGTCCAGGGAGGGTAGGAGACCTTGGGGTGGTGTCCAGGAGGAGGGGGTGTGTTGGAAGCGGGAGAAGGGGTCAGTAGAGGGAGGGTTAGGTTCACGGTTAGAGAAGTAAGCGTGGAGGCGGAGGCGGCGGAAAAACTGCTCTATATCCAAGCGTGAGCGGTATTCGTTGATCTGTGGGTGGAGGGGGACAAAGGTGAGCCCTTTACTGAGGACTGACCGTTCGTCCTCAGTAAGGGGTAGGTCTGGGGGGATGGTGAACACTCGGCAGGGCTGGGTGCTGCTGTCTCCTCTGGAGCTGCTGGCTGTGGAGGCTGTGGGCGGAGCTGTGTCGGCGTCGGCTGTGGGCGAACTAAAATTGCTCCAGGTGAGGCTCGAACTCACAACCTCGGCATTGCACACGCCTCAATACTGCCATATAAGTACCGCGCGCTGACCGATTGCGCCACTGGACCTCTCTGTCTCCATATCGGGCAACCACCTAGAAACCGATATTCATTTCAAGCCCACCGACTCCCACAGCTACCTAGAATACTCCTCCTCCCACCCACCTTCCTGCAAAAATGCTATCCCCTATTCCCAATTCCTTCGCCTCCGCCGCATCTGCTCCCAGGATGAGGCATTCCACTCCCGTACATCTCAGTTGTCCTCGTTTTTCAAGGACCGTAACTTCCCCTCCTCGGTGGTCGAGAACGCCCTCAACCGTGTCTCCCACATTTCCCGCACCTCATCCCTCACACCCCGTCCACGCAATAAAAACCAAAAAAGAATCCCCCTCGTCCTCACGTACCACCCCACCAACCTCCGGATCCAACGCATCATCCTCCGACACTTCTGCCGTCTGCAATCCGACCCCACCACCAAAGGCATCTTTCCCTCCCCACCCTTATCTGCTTTCCGGAGGGACAACTCTCTCCGTGACTCCCTTGTCCGCTCCACACTCCCCTCCAGCTCCACCACACCCGGCACTTTTCCCTGCAACCGCAGGAAGTGCTACACCTGCCCCCATACCTCCTCCCTCACCCCCATCCCAGGCCCCAAGAAGACTTTCCACATCAAGCAGATGTTCACCTGCACATCTGCCAATGTGGTATACTGCATCCGCTGTACCCGGTGTGGCTTCCTCTACATCGGGGAAACCAAGCGGAGACTCGGGGACCGCTTTGCAGAACACCTACGCTCGGTTCGCAACAAACAACTGCACCTCCCAGTCGCGAACCATTTCAACTCCCTCTCCCATTCCTCAGACGACATGTCCATCCTGGGCCTCCTGCAGTGCCACAACGATGCCACCCGAAGGTTGCAGGAACAGCAACTCATATTCCGCTTGGGAACCCTGCAGCCCAATGCTATCAATGTGGATTTCACAAGTTTCAAAATCTCCCCTCCCCCCACCGCATCCCAAAACCAGTCCAGCTCGTCCCTGCCTCCCTAACCTGTTCTTCCTCCCACCTATCCCCTCCCCCCACCTCAAGGCGCACCTCCATCTCCTACCGACCAACCTCATCCCGCCCCCTTGACCTGTCCGTCCTCCCTGGACTGACCTATCCCCTTCCTAACTCCCTACCTACACTCACCTTTCCTGGCTCCATCCCCGCCTCTTCGACCTGTTTGTTTCCTCTCCACCTATCCTCTCCTCTATCCCTCTTCTGTCCGCCTCCCACTCTCTCCCTATTTATTTCAAAACCCCCTTCCCCTCCCCCTTTTCTGATGAAGGGTCTAGGCCCGAAACGTCAGCCTCTCAGCTCCTATGATGCTGCTTGGCCTGCTGTGTTCATCCAGCCCTGCACCTTGTTGTCTCGTTTACTTGCATTTGATGTTGTTGCAATGTGAACAGCGTGGCTTCCTGCTTCATAAAAAAGGCTAATATGACTTTTGAAAAAAAAGACGCAGCATCTCAAAAATGCTGCCAGTAGTCACATGGCTGATTCTTGTTGATTCATTTCAGCCAGAGAAGATAGGCGGGGAAGATAGTCAAATCAACCTGTTCACAGATGTTATGACACACATTTAGAGCAGATGGGACTTGAACCGAGACTTCCTGGCTCAGAGGGAAGGACACACACTGTATCAAGAGCCCATATCTCAACAGTAACCATTAGAATCATAGACTATAGAATCATTGAACCCCTACAATGCGAAAAGTGACCATTTCACCCATCGAGTCCCGAACGGACTCTCTGAAGAGCATCTAATTCAGACCCAGCCCACCATCCTATCCCCCAAAACCCCGCATTTACCATGGCTGATGCACCTAGCCTGCATATCCCTGAATATTATGGACAATTCAGTGTGGCCAATCCACCTGGCCTGCACATTTCTGGATCATGAGAGAACCATTCAGCGTTAGTTACGTTTTGGACAACATGAGTCCTTAAAGGCAAGAGAATTCAAAAACTTGAGAGAGAGACAAGGAACTGGAAGAATCCTCCACGAGTAATTCAGGCATAAGTGACTTGGCTGAGTTGGGCAATGATTCATCAGAATTGAACATAGCAGCCTCTTAAGTTACAATGTGTAGAAAACTCTGTGAGACATCACTTTAAGACAGAACTGTAAAGAAGATCTTAAAACACAACATTGGGTAAAAGTTTCTCTGCTCAAAGAAAAAGGCTATAAGAAATCAAGCATACTTCTGTCAAAAAGAGCCCGGGTTGTAACCAGTTGCAGAATGTTGTATTTACTGAGCTCAACTGTATAAGCAAACTTCAACTCATCAACTACAGAAGCAAGTTTTCACCTTCAAAGGAACGAAAAAAACAAAGAAATACGAGCCAGGAGTAGGCCATTTGGCTCGTCAAGACTGTTCCGTCATTTAATAAGATCATAGCGCATTTTTTCGTGGACTCAGCTTCACTTACCCACCTGTTCACCATAACCCTTAATTTGTTTACTGTTCAAAAACCTATCATTGCCTTAAAAACATTTAACGATTCAGCAAGAGAATCTACAAGCAAGTAACTAATGTGCAATTATAAGGAACTGAGTTTATTTTCGTAACAAGACCATAGGACACAGACCCATCAAATCTGCTCTACCATTCAGGCCTGATCTGATAAACCTCAACTCCAATCACCTGCCTTTTCCCATACTTCTCAAGATTATTTTATCCAAATCTATGTTTAGTCTTTGTATTTTAAACTACATCATATTTTTTACTGAGTAACTTTCAGCGATAGATGTGTAATAAACTAATCTTAGATCTTGTTTTCAAGCTGAAGTTTTGCTGCTCAGTCCTTTTAAAATTGAAACTTAGAAATATAAAAGGAAACTAAATGGGGTCTATAAATCATATTTTACTGACTATGCTGTAGATATGCCTCGTGGTTATGACAATGGCCGTTTAAGACTTTCTTCCAAACAATAAATAAATATATAAATGAAAAATCATCTGAGTAGAAACACGAGCCAATTTCGCACCCTTAATCTTTACAGAATGCAAGCTGCTCTGAGAAAACATCGGAATGTTGTACTGTACATGTATTATGATTTATGTATTTTTCTTACAATAATTAAACCGTGCTTTCTGTATGAAATGCAATGGTTCTGGCTAACAAAAGTTAGTAGTGAGAGTGAGCGCACCACTTTTGCATTTATTTCTATCTCAACGAAGCCATTCAGTCAAACATTGCTTCATACGTATGAAATAGTTCAGAGATACGAGCTTTTCGTCGCACAGTGTTATAGGCTACACATGTGGATTATGTAAATGGAAATATAACTCCGTGATATCGGGAGGACATGACCTGAACCTTCTGCTTCAATTGATTTCAGGAAGTCTTTCAACATCTTTAAATTACCAGATTGGTAAGTCAGTAGCAACCTGTCATGTAACTCCTATTGAAAATTAAGCCAAATATTCATCAGGCATTTGAAGACAAATTTCTCGTCCAATCCCTCCAAGTTCAAAATTAAAGGTAAGAAATGTATGTGTTAACACAATTAAGCTCACACAATTAGAGTCCAGCATATTGTTCTCCTCCCGTTCGACTGTCACTGAAAGCATTTTTTAAAAAAAAATTCATTCAGGGGATGTGTGCATTGCTGACTAGGCCAATGTTCAGTGCCCATCCCCAGCTGCCCTTGAGAAGGTGGTGGTGACTGTTTTCTTGAACTATTACAGTCCATGGAGTGTAGAAATACTCTCAGTAATACTGACCCAGTAACAGTGAAGGGATGGCGCCCATCATTACAGAGTGCGGCTTGGGGAGGAACTTGCAGGTTGTGGTTTTCCCATCCATCTCCTGCCTTTGACTTCCTAGGTGGAGCCAAGGTGAGTTACTGAGGTGTATTGTGTCCATGTCAGTGGTGAAGGGTGTGAACACAAAAGCAAAAGAACAAAAGAGAGGTACAGCACAAGAACAAGCCCTTTGGCCCTCCAAGCCTGTGCCGATTATCACACCCTAACTAATCTAAAAGAAAAGCCTTCTGCCCTTATTTGGTCCGTATCCCTCTATTCACTCCCTATTCCTGTAACCATCAAGATGCCTCTTAAACGTAGCCATCATGCCTGCTTCCAGCACCTCTTCTGGCAATGCGTTCTGGGCTCCTATCACTTGAAGTTCAATGAATGGAGAACCAATCAAGTGGGCTGCTTGTCTTGAATAATGTCTGGCTTCTCAAATGTTGTCTGAGCTGTGCTCATCCAGGCAAGTTCAGAGTACTTGTACCAGGTGAATTACACACCACTGAATTCCTAGCCTCTGACCTGCTCTAGTAGGCACAGTATTTAATATGACTGCGCCAGTTCAGTTTCTTGTCACAAGCAACCCCAATATATATTCATAGTTGGTGATTCAGTGAAAGTTATGCCTTTGAATGTCAAGAGGCAATGGTTAGATTCTCTCCAGTTGGAGCTGGCCATTGACAGATGCTTTGTTGTGGTGTGAATGTTACCTGCCATTATCACGCAGACCTGGATGTTGTCTAAGTCTCGCTGCATATAGACATGACTGCTTCAGCAATTGAAATGTCATGAATAGCGCTGAAAATTGATATTGATGAGGAAGTCTTTCAAAATGAACACCCGCCTTTTAAACTTATATGAATTAGATAATTGGGCCCAGGATCCGACTGCAGTAATTTACTCTGGCTGAGAATGACTGACATGCCAAAACCACAACCATCTTCCTTTGTGTTAGGTTTGACACCAAACAGCTGATCCTATTTATGCTATACTATTGTTACTTCCAAAAACTTCGTAACATTAAATCAAGCTGTTCAGGCATGTCCTGACAAAATGGGACATGTAAGACTTGGACCTTCTGGCTCAGAGATAGGGATGGTACCAATATCTGCTTAGTGTTATTTCCATGATGATAGGTCAATTAATTTCTCAGCTGGTTTATCCCATGGTTGTATTCTCTAGTCAGTTTAACTCTTATGAATATGAATATCAATATCAATGTCCTTTATTGTCATTTGTACAGAAGTACAGGAGTACAGTGAAAAGGTT